ACTCTGCAAGCGACAGATCGTATTTTGGCTTGAATTTCTCGGGCCAGGTTTCAGCCTTATATTGTTCATAGAGAAGAGACATTGCATATTGGATGTCTTCGATGACTGAAGTACCCGGAATAGAGAGAACTTCCTGTCGGGCTTTAGCGTATGCATCAGCACAATTGATGAGTGCCTGGTGATGTGTCTGTGTTATTGAAGGAGAAATGTTCAAGATTAAATATGTGGTTCTCTTTGGCAACTGGTGAAAAATGCTCACCTCATCTTCTTCACTCCACGCCACCTTTTTCTTTGTTTTTTTTTCTTTGCGTTTGACTATATATTTTTAATCAAACAGAATGTTAAAAGAGGTCAGCATATATGTGACGTAATGTGAATAGTTCATTATACCTTGCTTTTTGGGCATTTTCTTTAAGAACGTAAAATCAAGAAAAAAAGGGTTATAACAAAAATCTTACACATAGAAATAACCACGTGTCCATAAATTTTTGATGACGATGCTGGGAAAAAATCCCTAGGGCCCATTATAACATGATGAGGTTTGCGTCAGAGATTACTAGCTCCATTATGCGAAGCATGGGCAAGGCCCTAAAGCTCGATATTTAACCTTACCTTTTACTTTACGCTTTCGAATGGGGAGTTTCATATGTATAACTTCTATACCCAAACTGGATGCAGAAGAATTACCTGAATACTGTCCGAAGTATCTGAATTGGAAGAAGTATCCGTGGAACATTTAACCTTATTTTTCTTGCTCTTATTTTTGGAAACATCGTCATTTAATCTTCTGGATGGTGGATGTATGTTGCGAAATATTCCATGACGTCTCTTTCGGTGCTTATTATCTTCAACATCTGAAATAATTTTTTAATCATATTCGTGATCTCATCTATTGATAAATCGGACCTAGGTGGGTCATTTTTAGTGGGACTGGCGCTATTGTTATTTTCTTTGATTAATGGAATACTCATATCATCTATTACAATCCTAGCATGCATGACGAGTATAAGTTTTGGGGGATATTCAAAGCTTATATTTGCTTCACGCATCCATAACCAATACAGTCCTATACTGTATTTTTTTTATTGCGTATTTATAAATAATTTAACATATACAATGACTGAAAATAATAATATTGAATTAGTGCTAAAGCAACAGAGTGTGATTGATTCATGTTCAGAATGTCCAATTATCACTTATGAGATTGCGAAAAAATTAGGTTTCGAAAAGATAAAAGTTTACCCAATATTACCGATAAAGTGGTATCTAATATTATATTATATAAGCAAGTATCAGGTAAAAAAATCTGGATCTCTCTTCAACGATTACTGGAGATAGTGAAACCCGAGATTTAGCAGGATATTTTAAATTCGATAGTAAACCCCAATATTTCTCGAAGAAACCATACACCATGCAAGATCCCACCTTCTCGTTCTTTGAACTCGAAGCCAGATATAGACACTGTGATAATTTGTTTTCTGGGATATACTGTATAAACCGACCATGAATGAACAAAGTGAAATAAATTGTCGGGGAAAAAAGAAAATTTTAAATGATACTGCATCTGAGTCCTCATCCTCGTCTTCATCTGGGTCTAGTTATGAATGGTCTAATGATGAAGATTTTGCTATAAATATGGTGAAAGCAAAGAA